GCCCCATAGACTTACATTCAAAGATGTTTTTTTTCGAACGGCGGGCGCTCCAATGCATTCTCTATGGCTTCCGGGAGGGCTCGCACTAACGTGCTTACGTCATCATACGTAAGCACGTTTCATCCAACAATATAATTTGTCGCCACCTAGTGGAATCTTTAATAAAAGAAACTTGAGTGGATTGTATTAATAGTGAGTATAGAAACAAACAAGATGTATTGTAAGAGTCACTTTATTTTTTATTAATATTAAAGAAGTGAAGTTACCTTTACATGCTTAAGCTGTTATTTTATCTATTGCATGGGTGGACCTTATCCTTATCAATCATCCAGACATTTGCCCCCCCTGAGAGATTTTGCAGGAGCCGCCACTGCAAGTGAATGCGTGATCGGTATCATTGTTTTAAATTTTACTCACACGTCGATCCAAACATTCATCCCTGTGGGTGGAACACAATTCGAACATTTTTTTGGAAAATCAATAGTTGGTGTTTTGTGGATCTAAACACCGCCGCCAAATGAATATGGAATTTAAAGGAGTTGCTCACTACTTTACAAAGGAGATGAGCTCCTATCCACGCACTTTTGACAGCGAAACCACCGCGACTTGAAATTAATTTCAAGTGAATCACGTGCGGCTCTTAAGCGTGGAACTTGAAATTAATGTTAATTTCAAGTACCACGCTTAAGAGCCGCACGTGATTCACTCGGAATCTCAGGTGCAGCCAGATGACGGTCTCAACCCGGTACGCAATGATGGCAACATAGGGATCAAATGACATTGGAATTTTTTACTGAATTTCAGTAAAATGCAAAAAATGTTTTTACGTAAAACAAGCGTGTACTGAGTGCTCTCTGAAGGGCGTTTATGAAGGTAAAAAAGAAATGCAGTCGTCGCTGCCTCTAAACGGTCGCCCGTCCCTCGCAGTGTTCGTGCTCAGGGACACAAGTGAACTGTGCAGGGAAAAGCCACGCGTCTGTGCCTGCGGGAATCCCCACCACCACGCGAGAGCTGCTTTTGTACAACAACCAGATCACGAAACTCGAGCCAGGGGTGTTTGACAGTCTAACGCAGCTCACGTATTTGGATCTTGGTGGCAATCGGCTGCAGGCCCTACCCGAGGGGGTGTTTGACCGCCTGGTGAATCTGCAGTGGTTGGCTCTGAACGACAATCAGCTGAAGAGCGTTCCCAAGGGCGCGACTGGCGGTGGAGCTGTAGCCATGCGCGCGAGTGTCTCGCCGGTGGTGATAATTCACCAAATATAAACAGTGGCAAATATCTCAGCATAGAAAGACGAACAATGCGAATGCACAATCGTAAACAACACAAAAACACGAGCTTCTCAAGATGAATAAAACATCCACGCTTGCTTATGTGCAAACATGGATGTTAAATCTATATACCCATTCAATTAATACTATTTTATATAATAAAATCCAACGGTTAATCGATTTCTATTAATGCGACTCATTAAATAACAATACTAATGCTTCTTAGCAATGAGTCAGTAAATACTACATTTTAATTGCATCTCAAATATTTTCCACAATGCATTGACTATCGTGTCAATGAATCAGCTATCGTGTCTAGCAGTGGATTAATAGCAACGCTTGTGATAATGAATATATATATGTACATATCCAGAGATCCATATCTGTATTTAACCAGACGAGAGACTTTTGAAAAACAGTTCACTCTCTCCATTGGCGACCTGGGAAACAAAAACGTGAATTAGTTATCTAAATCATTCACAAAATGAAACTCACTACAATGCAATAACAACTATTTTATAATTCACACAACTGTGCATACACCTAACCACGAAGCAATATATAAGAATAGGTTAATTGAAATGAGTTTTTTATATTGTGAATGTTCGCCACAAGTATATGTGTTTAATACAGAAATTATTCCTTGAAAAAAGTTTCTGTTTGGTGTTTTATCATGTTAACAACTGTTTAATTGCCAGAAAGGGTAACCTTTATTGTTATATGTTGATGTTGGCAAGGGAGGTCCCATGATAAACTAAGCAATGTAACATGTTTGGCGAATAACTTTTTTCAGGGAGAGCTTTGGGAAGAGGCAACTCGTGTAAATGTTGGACCACACGCGACGCCACTCGCGTGTAAGGGGAGGCCGTTGTGAGCCGCCTCTAAAGCGTCGCCCGCCACTCGCAGTGTTCGTGTTGGGGGACAACTGTGGACTGTGAGCGGAGAAACCTCGCGTCTGTGCCTGTGGGCATCCCCAACAGTCAGAGCCTGTGGTTGAACGACAATCAGATCACGAAGCTCGAGCCCAGGGTGTTTGACCACCTGGTGAATCTGCAGCAGCTGTCGTTGTACAGCAACCAGCTGACCTCTCTCCCCGCTGGGGTGTTTGACAATCTCACCCAGCTCACTCGTCTGGCTCTGAGAACCAATCAGCTGAAGAGTATTCCCAAGCGCGAATGGTGGTGGAGCTGCAGCCAGAGTAAATTTGAAAATAGCTATCGATTAAATATCACATTTACTCTTGCCCATTACATGCGTTGGATATATTACACACACAAATACTGCTCTTATAAATGTAAACTAAACATTGTGTTCTTGCCTTTGTTTTTTTAAGATTTTGTCGATCAGTTTTGAACAGTGAAATATCTTGCATTGTGCATCCTTTGCTTCTACCCCAGGTCTCCGTTGCGAAAAAGACTTTCATCTCTGCAGGAGTCTTGTCTGGTCAGACAAGAGTTCAGGAACGAGCGCGAATTAAATCGGGATCAGAGCCCATTGAGACAAAGGTTTTACGGTAAGGGAGACGTGAGACGAGACGATAAAACATCTCTGAACATATCTCTGGGTGTACAAATGTAGTGGTTCAACTCGGAGGCAGTAATTATTGGAGACACTTCTTTTATTATACTCACAATCTCCCTTCACACATCCTACAGTCGCTTAGGCTACACACACCCTAGCCCAGGGGTCGGCAACCAAAATAACAAGAAGAGCCATTTCTTTCCAATTCGGTACAAAATTCAGTATTTCAAGAGCCGCAATGCATCTGGGTACATACGTACTCATCGTCAAGAAGCAGCCCGTAAAGAGCCGCATGCGGCTCCGGAGCCGTAGGTTGCCGACCCCTGCCCTAGCCTATACAAACACTAGCCATCTAACACCGATGGCGTTGACCAATACAGCCAACAACTGTATAACAGCGCAATATCAAGCGACGACGACAGCGGCGACTATGAGAAGATAGGTGACGACGACGACGATGGACTTGAGCAGCACGACGGGGATCCCACTTAGAGTCAACAGCCACGAGATCCCCCACAGGGGCCCTCTTATACTCTCAGCATGGCCTCGCTCCGCCCCGGCGACGCCCCCTCTCTGGAACCTACTAGCGGGTTCCCGAGGCTTCCCAATGGCCCCGTCTGTGACCTTTCCCCCAGATATTCTCCTCCCGTTTATATTGTCGCCAACTGGCACAAGTACTGCCATACACCACAGTTACCCTTTTGCACAAACAACTCGTGCTATTTCCCGACACAAAGACCAAAGATGGTGTCTTGGACCAGCAGTGAAAATAGTGGCGGAGTGGCAGAGCCCAAAGTAACAGCTTTTCAACGAGTCAAGACAGGACGAATGTATCCGATGCCTGGACAAGGACGAGAACATCGAGACTGAATGGACTCAGGTGAAGACCTCTGTGTGACTTAGAGTGGCGAGTAGCTGCGGCCTGAAGTCAGTCGGAGCCTGTGTGGGTGGCAACCCTAGGACCCTTTTGTGGACAACGGACGTATGGCAAGCTGTCCATACGAAAAAGGCGGTGTACAGGGCAATGCTATTGGATAACCAGCCCGATGCACGTCAAAGCTGCAGCGGCTAAAGCTGTTGCGAAGGCAACAGTCGAGACGTAGGAAACGTTTAGAAAAGCAATGGAAACCGACCACGGAGATGCTCCGAAACTCCTTTGGTGGACCATTTGGCGTACCTGGAGGGGAGGGCAGGACTCTGTTCAGGCTGTGCTGCACAAGTACGGAAAAGCGCTGAGCCGTATTGAAACCATCGCCAAGAGATGGAAGGAGCACTTCCAGCAGCTTCTAGACCCGCCCGGCACGTCTCTTGTGGTGGTTGCGGCATCAGTTGAGTCGCTCACGGGCGTTTGGGACAATATCTCGGCTGCTGAAATAGCAGAAGCGGTCAAATGACTGCAGAACGGTAAGGCGGCTGGGAATGATGATATTCGCCCCGAGATGATTAAGGCATTGCATGGCTGACTAAGCTATGCAACAATGCATGGGAGACTGGAGCAGCACTGAGAGGCTGGCAGAACGGAGTCATCAAATCCATCTTTAAGAAAGGTGACAGGCGGCAATACTGCAACTACCAGGGCATCAGCCTCCTCAGCCTACCTGGGAAAGTCTATGCTGTGCTGTTAAACAAGAGGCCCCAGAAGGTGGTTGAGGGAAGAGTGATGGAGGAGCAAGGAGGTTTCCGCCCGGGAAAGGACTGAAGGACTGTGGATCTGCTCTTTACCCTGTGGCAACTCCTCGAGAAATGATAAGAGCACGCCCAAACTGTCCACATGTGCTTTTTGGACCTGGAAAAGGCTTACGACCGAGTCCCTGACGAATTGATGTGGTAAGTGATGCGTGAATATAGCGTTACTGACTTGTTGCTATGCGCGATCGGTTCATTGTAAGAGCAAAGCGAGAGCTGGGTCCGGCATGCCAGACAGACCCATTCCCAATCTGGTTTGGACTTCAAAAAGGTTGTGTGCTATCGCTGTCAATGTTTATCCTGTTCATGGATTGACTGATGAGATGGTGCACGGTGGCGACGGGCATCAGCGTTGGCGGAAGGGAGGTGTTAGCCATGCTGTATGCAGATTACATCATCCTCTTAGTTCCAACACACTCCGACCTCCAGAATGTGCTGAACAGCATTGTTGCAGTATGCGAGGGTGTAGATATGGGCATTAGCACCTCCAAAACCAAGACTATGGCTGTGGCCAGACCAAGATGGCCGAGCCCTTCTTCCTCAACTGCGAAGTAGTAGAGGAAGTCAAAGATTTCCGGTACCTCGGGGTGTATTTCTCGAGGGATGGAAAAAGTGGGAAAGGAGATCGACGACAGGATGGGAACGGCAGTCACATTGATGCAGACGAGGAACTCGTCTGTGGTCTGAAGGAGCTAAAACTTCAGGCAAAGCTCTCGGTCTAGCAGACGATATTTGTCCCGATCCTGACCTACGGCGACGAAACCTGGATACTGACGGAAAGGACACGCTCAAGGGTGCAAGCAACAGAAATAGGCTTCTTGCGCAGGGTGGCAGGTCTCTCTCTCGAGGATCTGGTGAGAAGCACGGCTATCCGCCAGAGACGCAACGTCCAGTAGGCACTATTGAGCGTGGAGCAAAGCCGCATACGGTGGATGTGTCATCTGCTAGGGATGTTGAAAGAAAGACTCCTCTGGGAAACGTTCGAAGGACTTCCTGCAGGCAAAGACTCAAAGGCCGCCCGTGATTGCGCTGAAAATACCAGGTTGTGCGCCTGGCAGAGGAGAGACTTGCGATCCGGGAGCCACAGTTGATATCGCTGGCAAAGGACATGAAAGGATGGAAGGCCTTGGTGGAAGTGCTGCTCCCACGACCCGATTCAGTTCATAAAAGTTGACCAATATTTATTGATTGATTGAAATTTAACGCAAACCACTCGACGTAACTGATGTCATAGTTATTGCATTTCTTTATGTAAAATACATTATAATATATTATATTTTATATCTGATGCGATCGGACATGGTGGCCTGCAAAAAGAGAGATGGTGCAGGATAGGGCAGTGTAGAGAAGGTTGACAAGGACAGCGGACCCCGCATGAGTGGGACGAACACGTGGAAGAAGAAGACATTTTACAATAACAATTCCTTATAGAGGAAACATAATAATTAACTGCTTACTAATCTATCATATAAATACAATAACCCCCCTCCTCCGCCTCTGATTTCTGCACTTGATGGGTTCAGTGATGACGTCGTCTTGCTCCATTTAAGACTGGAAGCAGGTGCATTGTTTCACTATTCTGGCAAATCGCCCGATGATGCTGGAAGTAATTACCAGCGAAACGTCGTATTAAAAATTTAAAATGTTGTGGATTTACTCTGCAACACACCGGTCGGCTGAAGTAGTAACTAATTGCCGCGTTGTTTACGTGACAAACCTTACTGGCTGTGTCGGGTGGTAGAGGGTTACGACACATTCAAACTTACGCGATCTAACCCAAAAAGCTTTATCATGATTCATATTGGTCGCGAAAGCCTACGTGTTAAACATTCAACATGTTAACAGTGACTCATTAACTAATTCAGAGAGTTCGCTGAGAACGCGAGAGATACATTGAGTGTAGAGTCGATGCATCACGATCTCTGTGGGACTGTAACTTGTGTAGGCACCACCAGTTGAGCGCTCCTGGGAATGCTCTTCAACTGATTGATGTGCAGACCCAACTGCTGCAGATTCCCCAGCTGGGTCACTGTTAAACACCCAAGCTAAAGCGTGATCGGTGTTATTGTTTTAATTAAGATAATCACAAAACGCGCATTTGAAGCACAGTTTGTCCAAATTTACTCACACGTAGATCCCAACATTCATACTTGTGGGTGGAATAAAATACGTACGACTTTTTAAAAAATGAATAGTGGGTGTTTTGTGGATCAAAAGAACCCCGCCAAATGAATGTGGAGTGGCGCACGGCTTAGCACAGGAGATGAGCGCCTTTCCACGCTCGTGTAATAAAGGACTCGACCACTGTGTCTGTCTCCGTGTCCTTTATTCGGGTTCGTATACTTTTCCCAACACGGCTCTCTTCCAGAGACTCCCCGCTTGGCAGCTCCACAGCTGCCTTCGCTCCCGTAGCCTTCCGCGCTCCTGCAGCTCCACTGCAGGTCCCTGGTGCAGCCCTCCGGCTGCTCTCACTGCAGCTCCACCGCTGCTCCCCGTTCCTCCGTGCTCGGTCACCGCTGGCTGGCGGTGCCGAGTCTTACCGTGTGTGGCGATCTCGCCACTCCCCAACCTCAGCCCTGCGTGGCCTCTGTGGCGATCTCGCCACTCTCCAACCTCAGCCCTGCGTGGCCTCTGTGGCGATCTCGCCACTCTCTGTCTCCATCCCCAACTCTCTCTTCCACCCCGCTGGCTGGCGCCGTCATGAGCCCCTCAGCCACCAGGCTGAGGCACGGCGACCACCCAACGTGGTCTCCACTCTTCACTCCCCCGACTCCCCAATCTCTTCCTGTCTCGCCGCTATAACTTCTCCCCCCACATGACCCTGACTCCTCCCTCTCGGATCGTCACATCCGACCCGCCCATTTACGCCCACATTGCACCACCCTCCCCTGTAGAGAAAATTCCAGCCGTCCTCGGCTGAAACAGAACAAAATAATGCGGGCGAAGGCATCACAATCAGGAGTCCCCCAGACAAAATGGAGATTATAACAACAACAACAGAAGTAACGAAAGGGGAGGTATCAGGAACTGGAACAGAACACCGGCCTGTCCTCCGCGCAACAACAACAAGAATAAGAATGGCACAATGCACAACAATGGCAACAGACACGCAAGAACGGCCGACGCGCACACTCAGGAATGTGGTGTTTTAGTGCGTGTCCATGTTGCAGTTCCATTCGCTCGGCTCAAGTTCAACGTCAAAGAGCAAGTGGTAGAGCAGGAATGACGAACGGGCGCTCAATTGCTCCTTCAAGTCCTCATCCAGTTAGCACACTAGGTAACACCCAGTGTGGCAGGCGCTGAAGATCTGTGACGAGAAGGAGAGTCCAATCCCCTGAGGCACAGCACAACAACGCACATCCGCATGTCATACACGACAGCCACCCGGCCCCAGGGTAGTGGAGATGATGTAATTCCGGCCCGCTTAAGAAACCCCAATAAATACCCAAAATAGACGCGATGAATGCCCCAGTATTTAAATTTTTACAACAACATTATTTACACGTGACAACAACAACAAAAAATTCCTGCTCTTGCCCACCAGCAGTCCTCCCTTGAGGACCAGCACAGACATCGCACGTACACAGCATGTACCCCCGGTCACTGTCAACAAAACCCCCAGTCGCACACCCTCGCGTGGAAAGAGCCACGCTCCCCAGCTGTAACGTTTAACTCGCCCTAACCCTCACCGTGGTCGTCAAACCACAGCAACATCCACTGATCATACTCTCGGCTACTGCAATTTCGGGGATGAGCAGCACTCGGCCTTGCTCCTCCCTTACTATCCCATCAGCGATGGACATACACCAGCATCTTATAGTCTGACGCTTCATAGCCAAGGGAAGATCAATCCCTCGGCAAGGCCAGACACCAACGACCCCCCCACGGGGCAATGTTCTCTTATAGAGTCAATAACGCCCTAACCCAGAGCGGAACAAGTCCGCGGCCCTTCTCGCTGGAGGACCCGCATAGAGAATCCCTGCTCCATGCTAGCCAGGTCACCCCGTTCGCTGGCACGTAACAAAACCTCTATTCCAAATCCCGTGAGCCCCCGGCACACCAGGTTCAGTCTGCCACCGCACAACTGAACCATGACTCCCCGAGCCATATGAGCACACGGCCCATTAGTTTGAGACATACCACGGAGGTTTCGTCTCCGGGCTGTTAGGTCAGCCCTCAGCCATAGGCCGATGTGACCACAACTCGTGCATCACCCAATCAACAATGGCAGGCATAACAGATGGAATATTTGCCCCACCGAGGTTTTTCCCGCGCGCTCAAAATAGCGGCCCCCTTCGCCAAGCGCGTTCTCGCAATATCTCGCGCGCACTCAAAATGGCGGCCCCTTGCGCAAAGCGCATCGTCGCCATACCCCGCGTGCGCGCAAAATGGTGGCCCAACGTGCGAACACGTGGGCAGTTTTCCGCGTGCGTGCACTCCAGCTGCCCTTTGCTGGGGGTCACAAGACGCATCCCCTGTCACGTTGTAACAACCCCACCAACGATAGACGCACAGCCCCAGCTTGCTGCGCAAAGCAGTCAAATCGGGGAAATTTTAAACAATATTTTACCAAACACATTGGTTACACACACCAACCCGCAAAGCAACTCCTGGCTGCATGCAATCAATCGAATGAGCGACGCCACTTGGCGCCAATTTACGGCCCCATCACCATTACCATCTGAGCCACCCACAACGGCGTCATCGCGCACCCTCATTTTCAAAAAGCTCAATTACCTATAATATACACGCAATCTCGTGTGCATAAACACCCATACAACCAAATTTTTGGGTCCCCCTCGAATTTGTTACCAATCTCCAAACAGGTACGCACAATTAATAACAATCCCAACCCCAATAGTCAACCAATGCATCGCACCCCATAACCGTACAGAACGGTGTAACAGCACATGCAGTCAGCATATCGCGATCACACGTGTACATTTAAGCACAATAGCAAGAAGATCTGCAGGCAACCAACACACCATTAATCCTGTCGTAACTTTGCAGCAACAACACAAATATTCTCTCTTGCAAACAACCACATCGCACACAGCACCTCGTAGCACAATCAGTGGTGGCTCCTGCAAAATCTCTCATAAGGGGCAAATGTCTGGATGATTGATAAGGATAAGGTCCACCCATGCAATGGATAAATTAACAGCTTAAGCATGTAAAGGCAACTTCACTTCTTTAATATTAATGAAAAATAAAGTGACTCTTACAATACATCTTGTTTGTTTCTATACTCACTATTAAAACAAACCACTCAAGTTTATTTTATTAAAGATTCCACTAGGTGGCAATAAATTATATTGTTGGATGAAACGTGCTTACGTATGATGACGTTAGCATGTATGATGACGTAAGCACGTTAGTGCAAGCCCTCCCGGAAGCCATGGAGAATGCATTGGAGCGCCCGCCGTTCGAAAAAAAACATCTTTGAATGTAAGTCTATGGGGCCACTCGGGGCGATTCTCAGCCGGAGTGAAATCGCCCAAAAAGAGGTGGTACTCCACAGAACGTGACATGACGCTGATTGGACTATATCCAGAGGCACAGTGACGGCTCGCGTGACTCTGTGGTTCAATGACATTGGTGGTGCGTCGCCCAATCGCCCTAATGAAGAAACCGCCCCTGAGCACAATACACCAAAAAAAATATTTTTCAATTAAGCCCGTCGCACACGGTAACCCACGAGATG